ATTGCTACATTACGGATCATTGTGGAACAATCAATTGAATGGAACTCACCACTCTACATCAACTTCATCGACTACGAGAAAGCATTTGATAGCGTGGATAGGAAAACACTGTGGAAGCTTCTTCGACACTACGGTGTGCCTGAGAAAATAGTCAACATCATATGGAATTCTTATGATGGATTCAACTGCAAAATCGTGCACGATGGACAGCTAACTAACTCTTTTGAGGTGAAGACCGGTGTCAGGCAAGGTTGCTTACTCTCACACTTTCTCTTTTTCCCGGTGATCGACTGGATTATGAAGACATCGACGTCTGGAGGGAAGCATGGTATCAACTGGACAGTTAGGACGCAGCTGGACGATCTGGACTTTGCTGATTATCTGGCTTTTCTATCGTACACGCAACAACAAATGCAAGAGAAGATGACCAGTGTAGCAACAGCCTCTGCAGCAGTTGGTCTCAACATACATAAAGGAAAAAGCAAAATTCTCCGATGCAACATAACATGCACCAACCAAATCACTCTTGATGGGGATGCCTTGGAAGACGCTAACACCTTTACATATCTGGGCAGCCTCATCGACAATCTAGGTGGATCCGATGCAGATGTGAGGGCACGGATTGGCAAAGCAAGGGCTGCATTTCTACAGTTGAAAAATATCTGCAACTCTAAACAACTTTCAACCAAAACTAAAATCAAGATTTTCAATACAAATGTGAAGACAGTTCTACTGTATGGAGCAGAAACTTGGAGAACTACCAAAGCCATCATCCAGAAGATACAAGTGTTTATGAATAGTTGTCTATGCAAAATACTTCGGAATCGTTGGCTAGACACGATCAGCAACAACGTACTGTGGGAGAGAACAAACGAGATTCCAGTGAAGGAGGAAATCAGGAAGAAGCGGTGGAAGTGGATAGGACACACTACGAAAAGCACCTAACTGAGTCACAAGACAAGACCTCACAACCCTCAAAGCAAAAGGAAAAGAGAAAGGCC